AATAGGAAAATCAAACACTTATACTTTCAGTTAAGGAAGGAACAGGATCATTAAGGTGAGATGCTACACATTGCATATGATTAGCAGAGAGTATAATATCAGCACTATTGTCAGTAATACAGACATAGCAATCAGATTTTTTTTTTTTTTTTTATGGCACAGATACTTCCTTGGACTGCAGTGAGAATGTCAAGGGCTATTATATTTTGGAGTACTACTTTTCTCATCATTGTTATTTTGATATTGATCTCTTGAAGCCCATGGTCACTGTCATTTAGGGCACTTTGAATATATTTGCTTAATATTTCTACATGTGACTTAAGAACTTCAAGTCCTACCTGAGGTGCAAATACTGATGCTAAATGATCAAGCCAATGAAACACTCATTGAGACCACTGAGCTCTTAATATGGGTACTTTAGCTGGTAAAGGGAATTTAGTTAAAATACATGCCTGAAAAACACTGCATAACTTGGATGAACTTGGAAGACATTATGCTGAGTGAAATAAGTCAATCACAGAAGAACAAATATTGTATTAGTTCATTATTGTAAAAAGTCAAGGAAAGGTTTATCTATGGAAGGTTTATATATGTTGCACCAACCCTAAAATTATTCAACTTAAATTACTGAAGTATAACCAGTCTTCAACCCAATATTCTAAAGAATATCTTTATTTATTTTTTAATATCTTTATTAGAGAAGCCTTTGACAAACAGGAACTAGACTCCAAAAGTCTGACTAACATCACCCCAGGAGAATATGAATATTGGAAGAGGCATCAAATAAAAGATTCATTAGAATTTCATTGGAAGGGGCCATTCTTAGTCCTCCTCACCAATCCACATGCAACCAAACAGAGGTAATAAAACCTAGGATTCACTTGTCATAGTTAAAAATGGCCAAGACTCCTCTTTGGACTAGCCACCACACTAGAGAATTGAGGGTCACATTTAAACACCCCTGTGGCCAGAAGATGACATCTGAGGCAGATAACTAACCTAAGGCACTGCAGCAGACCTGAAAGCACACCTCTTTATCCTTTCACCCTTTTACCTTTGTTACATTCATGCCTCCACTAATGTTTTCCTCGATTGGGCAGATGCTTATGCTTACCATTTTAAAAGTTTTAATTTTTGGTTATGTAGTGCCTTTTCAACCTTAAGGCAATCTGGCCTTTCCTGGTGGGTCTACCCACTATATGGATCTTATTGGGTATTGATCTAAGGATATAAGAACAACAGAGAAATAGTTCATTACTATAGGAAATCACTATTACTAGATTTTCCATTGATAAACGGCTTCTTTTTAAATATGAGTGAAACCCAGACCATAACTTAACACAACCCTTATTTTACTAAATAAAGTTGCCCAAGAAAAGTTAGCTAAAGAATCTTCCAAACCCACAAACAGTATTCTTTGTAATGTAGCCCCAAATCAACAATTGTGGGATGGATTCATGCAGTTAACTCCCCGATTAGAGAGGCTAAGTCAGGTTGCTCCTCCTTACTGGAAACAATCTAACAATACTTATGTGAATAATCTAGCTGTCACAAGGCCTAAGGAGTAGCTTCCAATATCTGAATGTGCATCAGTTATAACCTTACAAGTTATGGATTGGTTCACCACTGAATGGCTGACACTGAGGTATCTATTGGCCAGCCCCTAATGGTACTTTTGACTATGTGGAAGCAACCTTTGGCCCTGGGTCCCAACAGGCTGGATTGGAAGATGCACTCTGGGCCTGAGCTGGATTCAAGCATGTTTTTCTTTTTCTTTCTTTTTTTTTTTTTCACTGCTTATTTTTATTTTGTTATTTCATTTTTATTTTTGTAGTGTTCCCTCACCTTCCCTCCCACCTCTGGTAACCAACAAAGAAAATTTCCTTTCATATATAAACCTTTCCTTAACTTTTTACAATAAGAGGTTAATACAATATAGACAGTTTCGTCTCTATTTTGTTTACAAGAGTGAATTTTAGTCCAATTAGGTAGTGGAGGAAAGGCCTTTGGGACAGCCTCTAGCAATTTTTACTCATGACCTAAGAGTCTTCCAATAGCTTGGTGGTCATTTTATAAATATTTAAAGCTAAACTGTCCATAAGTTCTTTCCATTCTGCCTGTTCTAGACATAATTGGGCTTCCTCTTGGCCAGTAATCATGTGAAGATGCTTATATAAGTCAGGGAGCTCAGGCTGGTAGGCTTTAACAAGGATTTTAAATACTTCAGAAAAAGAGGTTCTCATGGAGTTTAGGAAAATCTTTCACAATGCTATGTAATTCAGAGAATGTCCATGGGGCAAAGTAATATGAAGGGACTCTGCTGTATTACTGCCAGGGTGAAGCCTAAAGGGTATTTCAGGCAAGGGTTTATTTATTTATTTGTTTATTGTTTGTTTGTTTTTGTTTTTTTTTTAGGGAAAAGGATGTTCAATTAAAGTGTTAGCAGAGGAGTAGGAAGGCAGAGAAGGACATTAAGAGGTAGCAGCCAACAGGACAGCAGCAGGAGTGGGAACTGAAATTTGACATTTTAATTCTTAATTCTGTTTAGTTAATTTAGAGACAATGTCCTGCAGAGAAGCAATTTTACTCTCTTGATATCTTTTAGAGGGCTCAGTGTACCAATCAAAATAGGCATACCGCTGGGACTGTTTAATCTGGGAGCCTCTAGTCTCCAATTTCCTGTGCAGGAAAATTAACTTAGAGAGATCAAAAAATAACCCCAAAGTGACCACTGATTTTTTTCAAACTATCTCAAATAAGGTTATGACAGACAGACAAGAACATGCATGATATGAGACCATAATTCTTGTTCATGTAGTGAGTAGGAGTCCAAGAAGGTGGTTTCAAATCTCCTTTTCAAATCTCTTTTGGACACAGCATTTCCCATTTTATAATAAGAATTATTTTTAAGAACTAAAACAAATCCACAATAAAACTTGAAGAGTTATTATTGGAAAGAATCAGAGCTTGGATTTGATTTTTTTTTAACCTTAAATTATTCCTGGGTATTTATTGAGTAGAGAGTCCAGAACAGTTTAGCAGATACTATGTTTTTGTCCAGATGTTCTGGGTATTGTAAAAAATTATGCCCCTTCAAAATCCCACTTCTGACACCAGAAATGTCAAAGAAGAAACTCTCATACTCTGTTAGGAGTGAAAGAAAAGGAGTTTTATTAAGAAATAATACAGTTCAAGCTGGACAGTGCTATGTAAAATGCAAATCACTCCACTGTCCCTATCAAGTAGAGGTTTTTATGCATATAGAACAAAGGAAAGGTAGATTAATGATTGATTCAGCTTCAGCTTTGGAGTCATTTGAAATGTAAAAGTCAGCCATTTGGCTAAGGGAGAGTGATTTTACCCCCTAGATGAGCAGCACCAGCTGGTTTGGTTGTACTCATCCTTCCTAGGAACAAATTATTTGCATCTTGACCCTTTTCTCCCTCAGAATGCATGTTGATCCCACTATTCTTGTCCTGGAATGAGTGCTTCTATGTTTGAAATTTTCCATCTCCAGAGTATACATAAAACATATGCCATCTCAATAATTTCTAAACATACAATGCAGTGACATTGATTATATTTTTCAAGTTGTGCAACTAGTCTCTCTATCCTTTTCCAAATTGTTCCATGACCATTAACATAAATTCAAAGTCCCCTAAGCAAGAACTCCCTTCATTCTGATTTTAAAAGAAATTAAACATTTTTTGTGGTCTCCTAAAATATCACAGGTCTTAGATATATGTGTTCTGTGCCCTGCTGGGACCCATGGTAAGAGTTTTGGAAAATCTATTTTGGTCAAGTGGAGAGAGCCTCACTAAGAACTGAAGGGTGCAGCTCAGGAGAGATGGAGTTCCTGTACAGGCTGGGAAGAGGCTGGATGCAGCAAAGGAACCAGGGAGTGGTGGATTTGCAGAATCTGTGGATGGAGAGGTGTTAAACTTGAGATTTTCAACCTCACAACCCAATACCCCCAGCTCTCCTCTGGGGATGCAGTGAGAAAGCAAGGCTCCTGGGTAGTCAGCTACAGACCTTCTAACTTGAGAAGAAAGCGCATGTCCTAGATGGTGCTGGGCACCTCTCAGGGTGAAGAGATGGCTTTGAATGGCCAATTCTAGATATCCCCAAGGGTCTTTTGAAGCCCCCTACCCTACTATGGAGGAGCCATGGTGACATAGTGGTTAAGTGATCAGCTGCCAACCAAAAGGTAAGTGGTTCAGTCCCACTAGCTGCTTCATAGGAGAAAAAAATTGGCAGTCTACTACCGTAAAGATTAAAGCTTTGGAAACCCTATAGAGTGGTTCTATTCTGCCCTATAGGGTTGCTATGAGCTGGAATTGACTGGACAGCAATGGTGTTTTTGGTTTACCCCAGTATGCACTTGGCCACTAGCTGAAAGTTGTCAATTTGAATCCTCCCAGAGGCACCTGGGAAGAAAGGTCTGGCTATTGACGTCTGAAAAATCAGCCATTAAGGCCCTATAGATCAATTTTATTCTGACACCTGAGGGGTCACCACAAGTCAGTGTTAACTCCATGGTGGTGGGTTTGTTTGTTTGTTTTTGATCCTAGTATCCAGCAATGCTGCCCCTGGAATCAGTTAACTTCAATTTCTTATAATCTTCTCTCAACTAAGCACAGTACTGCAACTCAGAAGGGGAGGACCTTGAGTTGTGCTGAATCTATGTAATTCACCCTTGGATGGGGGAGAGAGAGACACTTGGGTACCAGCCTTTTCATGTGTCCAGTAGGGTTTGGGTGATTTCCACCCCGACCCCCACAAAGAAATCAGCACACTATTATCAAAAGGCCTGTGAGTGGTTCTGAGTGACAACAGGCAAACCTGACATATATGATCACAGCAGTCAGAGGCCAAGAGGCTGAGAAGATAGAGCCTGTATACAGAGAAGTCACTCCCCTGGGCCCAGCCCTGTAGAAGCTCTGTAGAACAGTATGGAAGGAAGTGATCGTGGACCCTGGCATCCTCTGTTCCATCTTCAGGAGCTGAGGTCTTCTGGCTGGTGGCTCAGGACCGGGATGGGGACCCTTTGACCTATGGGATCAGTGGCTCTGAAGCCTACTATTTCAACGTCACCGTGGACACTGGGCAAGTGAGGCTGGCCAGCCCTCTGGACTATGAGGTAAAAGACAGCAGCCTCCTAATGGGGAGGGGAAGCAGAGGGCCCTGGTGACAGATATCTTAGCAGTGGGTGCCCTGCTTGTGCACCTACCCCACTCAAACTGCTTCTCTCTGCCCTGTCATAGACCCGCTTCCACTTTGTCATCACCATCTTTGTGAGCGACAATCACAACAACAGGGTGAGTGGGAAGGTGGAGGAGGGAGGATGGTCCAGGGATGAAAGGATGGGAACTGGGGGTCCCTCCTGATTGTGCCCCACCTCAGGCTGGCAGAGACAGCCCCAGGTAACAAAAATTAATTTAATGTTTATTTTTACCAAAAATATACTTGCCCATTTTATCATTTAGTTTTTACCAAGATTTTAATGTAACAATACTCCCCATCCTATTCCCTCTGAAGCGATCACTTTCAATACCTTTGGTTGAATATTTTGGTATTTACACTCATATTTCTTAAAAAAATGCTTAATTTTTCTGTGCCTTGGTTGTCTGGTTTAAGCTGTTATCTGTGGAAGCTGAGAGGTTTTGTCTCTCTGACATATTCTCCCATACCCCATCTGTCTCAGTTTCCTAGTGCTGCTGTAAAACAAACACCACAAGTGGATGGCTTTCAAGAGCAGCAACTTATTTTTTCACAGTTCTGGAGGCTAAATGTCCAATGTAAGGCCTCAGTTGTGTGGATTTTTTCCTTGTCAGTAGTCCTGGTTGTTTCTTGGTTCCTTGGTGACCCTCGTGTGTGTGTGTGTGTGGGTGTGTATGGGTGTGCATGCATGCACATGCATGCACACGAATGTGCATGTGTGCCTAATTTACTCTTTTTATACCTCAGAAGTGATTAGATTTGGACCCCCGTCCCCCCCAACACACACACAATACCACACTCAGGTAAGGAGTCCCCAGGTGGCACAAATTGTCAAGTGCTAAACTACTAACTGAAAGGTTGATGGTTTGAACCCTTCCAGAGGCACCTCAGGAGAAAGGCTAAGCATTCTACTTCTGAAAAATCAGACACTGAAAATGCCATGGAGCACAATTCTCTGACACACATATGAGGTCACTATGAATCAAAATGGTAGCGTAGTGCCTAAGGTATTTGACTGCTAACCAGAAGGCTGGTGGTTCAAACTCACCAGCCACTCCCTGGAAGGAAGGTTGGGCAATCTACTTCCATACTGATACCCCCTCGGAAACCCATGGAGGGGTCGCTATGAGTCGGATTCGACTCCAGGGCAGTGGGCTTGGTTTACTCTGGTATGATCTAATTAACAGAACAAGGAAAGCCCTGTTTCCAAACAGGATTACATCACAGGTACAGTGGTTAGGATTCCAACATATATATTTTTTTCAGAAGGGGTCACAATTTAATCCATCGTTTCAATTACTTGGATATTCAGGAATACATTCTCTCTGTGAATATTTCAAACATTGCTCTGCCTTCTTGTTTCAACTCCCAGTCTGTAACTGACTGTCTTTTTCAAGGTCTATTTAGTGTCACTTTAAAAAAAAAATGTGCTTTTTGTTGGTTATGTTGCCACTTAGTGTGGTCCCAAGTGTAGTGCTGAAGTTTATTGCTAAAGTCTCCTTTGACAACCATCTCCAGCTCACTCCCATTCCCAATGTCCACTGTTCCTGTGCTCTGTCATACCTCTTGTCAACATTTATGTACATACAGGAGAAAGACCATTTTCTGAAACCCAGATGGGACCCTATTGTACAAATCCTACATTTTGTCTTGAACCTGCCTTGCCCACTTGTCTGTCTTGGAGATCTTTCCAAGACTACACAAATGAGACTTTATTGTTTCTTCTAGTGTTTGCACAGTGCCGTGGTTCTCCAGCTGATGGACACTGGGGTTGTTCACAGTTTTCCACTAGGGCAAACAAAGCTAAAAGGAGCATTCATGTTGCAGGGTAGGCATATTTTAGATAAAAAAAAAAAAAAAAACAGATTGCCGAGTGATGATTGTAACTTACTCTTCAATGGTTCAGAAAAGAAGTATGAAGAGAAAGAGAGATAAACCAAATATGGCAAGTATTAACAAGGAATTAATCTGGAAGGAGTTATTTGCTCCCTATTTGCAACTTTTCTGGAGTTTGAAGTGATAGTTGATCCTCATTATTCTTGGATTCCATATTTGCGATTTTGCTTACCAACTAAAATTTATTTCTAACCCCCAAATCAATACTCAATGGTGCTTATGGTCATTTGTGGACATGTGCAGAGTGGCAAAAATGTGAGTTACTTGACGTGCATGTTCCCAGCTGAGGTAGAGCAAGGTGACGCTCTGCCTTCTTCTTTCAGCTCTCAGTCTGTAAGCAAGTGTCCTTTTCAAGGTCTATTTAGTGTCACTTTTCAAAAAAAATTTTGTGCTTTTTGTTGCTTATGTTGCCATCTAGTATGACCCCAAGTGTAGTACTGAAGTCCTGTCTAGTGTTCCTAAGACCAAGAAGGCTGTTATGTGCCTTACAGATAAAATATGTATGTTAAGTGTCATTTAGGCATGAGTTATAGTGCTGTTGGCCATGAGTTTAATATTAATGAATCAGTAACATAGTGCATCCAGAAAAGGAAGAGGAAATTTGCCAGTCTGTATATGAGGGCACAGGGGTGTTTGGAAGCAGCTTTAAAAAAGTCCCAGAGGGAGAACCAGGCATGAGATTTGTATCAACTTTAAGGGAGGCCAGGAAGTGAGTAGAGCAGTTAGAAACAGCTAAGAGAGATGAACTTGTCTGTCAGTTTGTCATCCTGTGATGGCTTGTGTATTACTATGAGGCTGGAGGCTATGCCACCAGTGTTGCAAATGCCAGCAGGGTTACTCATGGTGAATAGGTTTCAGAGGCACTTCCAGACTAAGATAGACTTGGAAGAAGGAAGGGGCCATCCATTTCTCAAAGTTGGCCAATGAAAACCTTATGAATAGCCGTGAAACAGCTGTCTGATACATTACTGGAAAACTTTATGAATAGCCCTGTAATATTGTCCAATATAGTGCTGGAAGATGAGTGCCTCAGGTTGGAAGGCACTCAAAATATGACTGGGGAAGAGCTTCCTCCTCAGAGGAGAGCCAGCCTTAATGATATGGATGGAGTGAAGCTTCCAGGATCTCCATTTGCTGGTGTGGCAAATATAAAAAAAAAAAAAACAGCCATAAACATCCATTAATAATCGGAACATGGGCTATATGAGCTATATGAATATATGAATCTAGGAAACCTGGAAGTTGTCAAATATGAAATGGAACACATAAAGATCAATATCCTAGGCATTAGTGAGCTAAAATGGACTGATTTTGGTCATTTTGAATCAGACAACCATATACTCTACTATGCCAGGAATGACAAATTGAAGAGGAATGGTGCAGCATTCATCGTCACAAAGAATGTTTCAAGATCTATCTGAAATACAATGCTGTGAGTGATAGGATAATATCCATACACCTACAAGGAAGACAAGTTAATACTACTATTATTCACATTTACTCACAAACCACCAAAGCTAAAGATGAGGAAATTGAAGATTTTTACCAACTTCTGCAGTCTGAAATTGACCAAGCATGCAATCAAGATGTGTTATCACTGATGATTGGAATGCAGAAGTTGGAAACAAAGAATAACCACCGGTAGTTGGAAAACATGACCTTGGTAACAGAAATAATGCTGGAGAACGCATGATAGAATTTTGCAAGACCAACCACTTATTCATTGCAAATACCTTTTTTCAACAACACAAACAGCGACTATACACGTGGACTTTGCCAGATGGAGTACACAGGAATCAGACTGACTACATCTGTGGCAAGAGGCAACAGAAAATCTCAATATCTTCAGCCAAAACAAGGCCAGGAGCTGATTGTGGAACAGACCATCAACCGCTCATACGCAAGTTCAAGTTGATGCTGA